TTATCCTCCCACCCACCTCCCTTCTGCAACCACCTGTTCTCTGCATCTGTGAGTCTGTTTCTGTTTTGTTATATTTGTTCATTTGTTTTGTTTTTCAGATTCCACATGTAAGTGAAATCATGTAATCTCTGTCTTTTATTTTGCTTAGCATAATACCCTATAGGTTCATCCATATTGTGGAAAATGGCAAGATTTCAATCTTTTTTTATGGTTGAATAGCATTCCATTTTATATATACACCGTATCTTTTTTTATCCATTCATCTGTCAGTGGGCATTTACGTTACTTCCATATCTTGACTGTTGTAATTAATGCCATGATGAACATAGGGGTGCAAATATCTTTTTGAAGTAGTGTGTTTGTTTTATTTGGAAAAATACCTGGAAGTGGAATTGCTGGATTGTATGGTATTTCTATTTTTACTTTTTTGAGGAAGCTCCATAATGTTTTCCATAGTAGTTGTGCCAATTTATACTCCCACCAAAGTCACAGGGGTTCCCTTTTCTTTTCATCCTCACCAACACTTGTTATTTGTTGTCTTGTTGATAACAGCCATTCTTACAGGTGTGAGGTGGTGTCTCATGGTAGTTTTGGCTTGCATTTTCCCTGCTGATTAGTGGTGGTGAGCATCTTTTCATGTATGTGTTGGCCATCTGCATTCCTTCTTTGGAACAATGTCTGTTCAGGTTTTCTGACCATTTTTTAATCAGGTTTTTTTTTTTATGTTGAATTGTACGAGTTCTTTGTTTGTTTTGGATATTAACTCCTTATCAGATACAACATTTGCAAATATCTTCTATGCAGTAGGTGGCCTTTTCGTTTTGTTGATAGTTTCTTTCACTGTGCAAAAGCTTTTTAGTTTGATGTAACCCCATTTTTGCTTCTGTTTCCCTCACCTGAGGCGACAGATCCAAAGAAAAATTACCAGAAATGATGTCAAAGACTGTACTGCCTATTTTTCCTTCTAAGAATTTTATGATTTCAGGTCTTACATTTTATGGTTTCACATTTTGCATCCAAGTCTTTAACCCATTAGTCTGGCTTTTTTGTAATTACCTGGAAAAGACTGTACATGTGAGATTAGATTGAGAAAAATTTCTGAATTGCATTTTGTTTCTCTAGAGCTGGCCAATAATTTCATCTTTCATGTACATCCCACAATTTAGCAGTAGTTCCCAGCTGTGGCTGTGGAAAGGAATCACGGTGCTTGAATAAAAGGCAGGTACTGGAGTATCAGCCCTGAGATATTCTGATTCATAGAGTTTTGGATATATTAGAATATCTGGCTCTATTTTAATGCCAAATTGAGTGGCACACTTGTGCTTCCCTTAAGTCGTTCTGTATAGCTGGTATAATACAAATATTTTTGTATAGAATTATTCTTATCTGTTAGGTTTAAGTCTGATAAATGGAGTCTGTTAATCTTTATTATGTTAATAACTTCCTAGTCATCTAATTTGACTAGGAAGAAAGTTTAAGGATGGAAATTTATGATTAATGAGCATATCTCATACTAATGTTGGATCCATTTCCTATTTTTTTTTTTATCTTATGTAGGCCAACTGTGGAGGCCTGGTGAAAAATAACCAGGTGCAATAATGTTCTGCAGTAAAAAGAAGTCACTTGGTAAGTAAATGTGATTTTTAATATTTTAATTTTATGGAGGTGTAATTTATAAACAAAAAACACACAGATCTTAAGTGTTCAGTTTGATGAGCTTTGACAGTTGTATGCACATGTGTAATTACCACCCCAAAGCAAGAGACAGAACATTTCTGTTACCCCAGAAAGTTCCCTTGTTCCCCTTTCTTTCACTTTGTATTTATTTATTTTTACTTTAAATATAGTTGATTTGCAATGTTGTGTTAGTTTCTGGTGTACAGCGTAGTGATTCAGTTATATATATATATATATTCTTTCTCATTATAGGTTATTACAAGCTATTGAATATAGTCCCCTGTGCTATACAGTAGGACTTTGTTGTTTATTCTGTACATAGTAGTTTGCATCTGCTAATCCCAAACTCCTAATTTATCCCTCACCCCCTTTCCACTTTGGTAACCATAAGTTTTTTTCCTATGTCTATGAGTCTGCTTCTGTTTTGTAAATAAGTTCATTTGTGACATTTATTAGATTCCACATGTTAGTGATATATAACATTTGTCTTTCTCTGTTTGACTTACTTCACCTATGATAATCTCTAGGTCCATCTATGTTGCTGCAAATGGCATTATTTCATTCTTTTTACAGCCGAGTGATATTCCATTGTATATGTATATCACATCTTCTTTATCCAGTCATTTGTCTATGGACATTTAGATTGCTTCCATGTCATGGCCATTGTAAATAATTGTAAATAGTGCTGCTATGAACATTGGGGTACATATATCATTTCGAATTGGAGTTTTCTTTGGATATATGCCCAAGAGTGGGATTGCTGGATCATATGGTGACCCTATTTTTTAGTTTTTAAGGAATGTCCATACTGTTTCTCATATCGACTGCACCAAATTACATTCCCACCAGTGGTGTAGGAGGGTTCCCTTTCCTCCACACCCTCTCCAGCATTTACCATTTGTGAACTTTTTAATGATGATCATTCTGACTGGTATGAGGTGATACCTCATTGTAGTTTTGATTTGTGTTTCTCTGATAATTAGTGATACTGAACATTTTTCCATGTGCCTATTGGCCATCTGTATGTCTTCATTGGGGAAATGTCTGTTTGTCTTCTGCCCATTTTTTGACTGGATTGTTTGATTTTTTTGTTGTTGTTGTTATTAAATTGTCTGAGCTATTTGCATATTCTGAAAGTTAAGCCAGTCACATTGTTTGTAAATATTTTCTCCCAGTCTTTAGGGAGTCTTTTTGTTGACTTGTCTTTTTTGTTTTGTTTAGTTTCTTTTGCTGTGCAAATTCTTATAAGTTTAATTTGGTCCCATTTGTTTATTTTCGCTTCTATTTCTAGTGCCTTAGTAGAGTGATCTAGGAAAACAATGCTATGATTTATGTCAGAGAATGTTTTGCCTATGTTCTCTTCTAGGAGGTTTATAGTGTCCTGTCTCATATTTAAGTCTTTAAGCCATTTTAAGTTTATTTTTGTGTATGGTGTGAGGGAATATTCTAACTTCACTGATTTACACACAGATATCCAGCTTTCCAAACACCACATGCCAAAGAGACACCACTTTTTTCCATTGTATATTCTTGCCTCCTTTGCTGAAGATTGATTGTAGGTGTTTGGATTTATTTCTGGGTTCCCTATTCTGTTCCATTGATCCATATGTCTATTTTTGTGCTAGTAGCACACTGTGTTAATTACTGTAGCTTTGTAGTATTGTTTGAAGTCTGGAAGGGTTATACGTTCAGCTTTGTTCTTTTTCACTAGTGTTTTGGCAGTTCTGGGTCTTTTGTGATTTCACACAAAATTTTAGAATTATTAGTTGTAGTTCTGTGAAAAATGTCCTGGGTAATTTGATAGGGGTCACATTAAATCTGTAGATTGCTTTGGGTAGTATGGACATTTTAGCAATATTAATTCTTCTAATCCAAGAGCATGGGATATCTTTCCCTTTATTTAAATTATCTTTAATTTCATTTATCAGTGTTTTATAGTTCTCAGTGTATAAGTCTTTTACCTCCTTGGTCAGGTTTATTCCTAAGTATTTTATTTTTTGTTTTTTATGAATTTTAAAAGTGATTTTTTTAACTTTCCTTCTCTGATATTTCATTGTTAGTGTAAAGAAATTTAACAGATTTCTGTATGTTAAACTTGTATCCTGCTGACCTCATTTATAAGCTCTAGTAGTTTTTGTGTGAAGTCTTTAGGATTTTCTGTATATAGTATCATGCCATCTGCATATAGACAATTTTACCTCTTCCCTTTCAACTTGGATTCCTTTTATTTCTTTTTGTTACCTGATTGCTATGGCTAGGACTTCCAAAACTATGTTGAATAGAAGTGGTGAAATTGGGCATCCTTGTCTTGTTCCACATTTTAGTGGGGAAAGGCTTTCAGATTTTCACTTCTGAGTATTGTGCTGGCTGTAGATTTGTCATATATGGCTTTTATTATGTTGGATATGTTTCCTCTATACCCAGTTTGGTAAGAGTTTTATCATAAATAGATGTTGAATTTTATCAAATGCTTTTTCTGTATCTATTGAGATGATCATGTGGTTTTTGTTCTTCTGTTGATGTGGTGTACCTTGTACCTCTTTTTATTCGTTCTCTCTGCACTATACACAACCACCTTCTGATTTCTATCAGATTAGTTTTGCCTGTTTTGGAACTAATATAAGTGAAATTATATAGCATATATTCTCTTGTCTTGCTTCTTTTATTGAGCATAAGGTTTTCTGTCATATATCCATATGGCTGTATGTATCAGCAGTTCTTCATTTTTCTTCTAAAGCAGTATTCCATTGTATGAATACACTGACACTTAAAACTAACTTCATAGAGGGGAGGGTACAGCTCAAGTGGTAGAGTACATGCCTAACATGCACGAGATCCTGGGTTCAATCCCCAGGACCTCCATTACAACAAATAATAATAATTAAATAAATATAATTACCTCCTCCCTCCCAAAAATAAAAATGAAATAAATGTTAAAAAAAACTAAGTTCATATGGTTAGAAATAATTGGGTTCATGATGGCAAGAAACACGTTACTTTTGGTTGAATAATTGGTCTAGCTGAACAGTAATAATAGTATTCCAGTTTTTTAAAAATATAGGATCCTGACCAGAGGGTTTTTATCTTCTCTTTTGTCTCATTGGTCAGTGACAGACTAGTATCTAGTTTTTCCTTAAGTAGGAGACTATTCAATATATTACTGCTGTTTTCTTTATTTTTGACCATGGGCATTTTAGGGACCAAAGGCTGGATTAGAGTATATCCAGTGCTGTGTCTCTCCTTCTAATAACACCTCTGACAGGTAGTTAACCTACTTTTATAGGCAATTATTTCATGGTGCAATACATTCCCTTGTTGGGCACTTACTCATTGCAACGTTCAGTCCCATAATGAGCTGAAATCTGTCTCAGTGTAGTTCTCACCCACAGGTTATGCCTTCTGGGGAAATACTTTCATATTCCCAGTGCCAATCTAAGAGTCTAGATTACTGTCATCACTTTTTCTTTTTCAGATAAAATGATTTATTTATGTCCAATCACTGGCATAATCTTAATAGTGTGAACATTAGATTAACCAGTTTTGACAGAGACAGGTTTCCAACAGAATCTATTTTGTAGAGTTTTGATAAGCTTGGATTCATTCTTTTAAAGTAATTTGTATGTATATGAGAATGTATATGTGTGTGTGTATATATATATGTATATAAAATAAGCAATTTTTTAAATAAATGAAAATATGAACATAGAAGTCACTGTAATTGGACAATCCAGAGATAACCACTCAAGGCTGCTGTGTTGTACAATTTAAAGGGCTCTAATCAATGACATCTGTTAACACATTTGTGTATATTCATTCAAATATATATCCCCAAATGGAATTATTTTGAAACTTGCTCTTAAAACATAATAATATAATCATAAATACCTCTTATGTCTTTAAACTTTTATAACATTATTCTTTTATATTTTCCTCTTTTTATTTTGAAAATGTTGAATTTTACAAAAAATTGAAAGAATTATAAACAACCCAATACCTTTTACCAAAATTCTACAGTTGTTATCATTTTGTCACAGTTGCTTCCTCTCTTCCCCCTACCCTCAACATACACTCCCCCCATACACCTTGGTTATTATTGAAACATTTCAAAGTAAGTTGTAGATATCAGGACTTTTACCCCTAACAACTTCAGCATGAATCTTAGAATAAGGACATTCTCCTAAATAACCACAGTACCATCACCACATCCAAGAAATGTAACATTAGTAAATAAGTAACATACATTCCTTTATTTCAGTTTCCCCATTTGTCCCCACAACATCTTATATCTCAGAGCTGCTCTTTTTTTCCTTTTTTTTTTTTTGTGGGGTGAGTACAGTATCCAATCAGTATCACATGTTGTGTTTGGTTTTTAATCCCTTTTCTTATTATTTTTAGATTTAGAATAGTTTTTCATTACATTGAATTTTGAAAAAGTGCAGTCCAGCTTTCAAATCAATTTGGATTAAACATTTTAGGCCCGAATACTATGTAGATAATATTTATTTTTTAATGAACAATTAATAAATTAGTTACTTGTTACTGTTTTGATGAGGAATACAACTTGCTGATCTTCCTCATATAGAATTTCATTTTATAGATGGATAGTCATAGCTATTTTTAATGAGCTATAAATAGCTCACTTGTAAATGGCTGTGCAATGAGGCTAAATGTTTAGCTAGTTTAGCTAGTTTAGCTAGACCCATGTCTGGGTCTGCATCTGCTGTGGTGCTGATTGGCAGAGAAAGCTGAGGCTAGCCTCTTCCTCTTTCTCTTGAACTTGTTATGATGCCCACGTGACTTGAGGGGTTGTCATGATTGGGAATGGTGCATCTTTAGGTTGTATCAGTTCCTATAGATCTGGTAATAGACTGGAGAGCTTTTTCAGCCTAAAATATTCATTTACTTAGTCAACAAACATTTTTGAGTGCCTACAACATGCTGGGTAGTGC